GAAAGAATCTCAAGCAGACTCCCCGCTGAGTGCCAAGCCCAACATGGGGCTCTATCTCATGACCCTGCGATCATGACCTGAGCCTAAAATCAAGACTCCTGAGGCTTAATGGACTGAGCCACCCAGGCACCCCTCACTGTGGTTTTAATCTGCACTTCCCTGATGATTAGTGATAAAGCTGTTCATAAAATGAATAAACAAAGAGCTACTTACCACCTTTAAAAAACAAAGTAACAAAGTAACAACAACTTTATGTAAAAGATTTAAAACCTGTAGACAAATTCTTTGATCCTCCTCCCATGGAGAAGGGCCACAAATGGGCAGGCATTTGTGACTACTTCAACCAAGAGAATGTGGCAGAGTAAGGCTACATCACTTGAGAGGCTAGTTCGAAAAGCCATGCAGCTTCTCCTGGTCTCTCTTAGAGGACACCTGCCCTTGGAACCCAGCCATCATGCTGTGCAGAAGCCTAGACTGCATGAAGAGGCCGCTGGCCCTCAGCCTGGCCAAACTCCAGGATCAACTTGCCAGCCATATTGAAAGGAGATCCTTGGGCCCCCAGTCGAGCTGCTGCATCTGATGTGGCAGAGAGCCAACCTTGCTATACCCTACCCAAATTGCCGAGTTGTGAACAAAATAAATACTTGTCATTAGTCTAAGCCACTGAGTTTTAGAGCGGTTTGGTTTGGTAGGCAGCAATGGATACCTAGAATATGTACTTTACAGATTTAAAAGGCTAAAAACAGCATCTAGCCCCCTACTCAGAGCAGACCCTTCTTTCTAATAAGTGGCCATCAAACCGCTGTCTGAATCTTTTGACTAATGTGGAGATCAGTTCCTCACAAAGCCATGCCTTCCACTGAGGAACCACCCCAGGAATTATGATCTGCTTTTATAGTAAGACCGGTTCCGTCCTGTCCAATCTCTCTGGTCTGAGTTCTATCTTCACAAGTGATCATTACTGTCTAACCCCCTTTTGTCAGGACAGCGCTTCACCCTGTTAAACAGTAGAGAAATCTTTGGCACGGTCGCATTTTATAGCCAAGAACCTGAAATGCATGAATGGACTGCTTTATCCAAAGTCATGAAACAGACACCAAATAAAATGCAGTTACTTGAATCTCTGGTATAGGGCTTTTGTTTAGTTTTATTTCTATCAAATATGAGACAAATGTAATGGATACATGATGTGTTGCCCATACTCAAATTCATAATTTTCATCCTTATGCCATCATTGTTTACAGGACTAATCCTCATTTCTATCATCTAGGAGAAGTAATGGTATGAATAACTGGAAAATGAAAACTACTTTTCTGTACCACTCATGTTTTCCTTGTTTGCACTTAAATATTTCCTGTTTTAACTCAATAAAAGCAGTCAGCTCTTTAAGGGCAGGGATAATTTTTATAATTTTGAGTCTTTCTTGGTGTTTGAGTACCTATGTATTGAATAATCTGCCTAGCCATGAGAGGCAGCATACAGATAAAAAGGATAAAAGCATTTCTTTCCAAGTAATTTAAAAATGGATGGAACTAGAGGGTATTATGCTAAGTGAACTAAGTCAGAGAAAGACAAATACCATATGATTTCACTTATATGTGGAACTTAAGAAACAAAACAGATGAACACAGGGGAAGGGAAGGAAAAATAAAATAAAGTAAAAATGGAGAGAGGGGTAAACCGTCAGAGACTCTTGACAATAGTGAATGAACAGAGGGCTGCTGGAGGGGAGGAGGGTGACGGGATGGGGTAATTGGGGAATGGGCATTAAGGGGGGCCCTTAATGGAATTAAGCACAGGGTGTCATATGCAACTGATGAATCACTAAATTCTACCCCTGACACTAATAACACACTATATGTTATGACTTTTTTTTGAAGATTTTATTTATTTATTTGATAGAGATCACAAGCAGGCAGAGAGGCAGGCAGAGACAGGGGGAAGCAGGATCCCTGCTGAGCAGAGAGCCCAATGTGGGGCTTGATCCCAGGACCCTGAGATCATGACCTGAGCCGAAGGCAGAGGCTTAACCCACTGAGCCACCCAGGCGCCCCTATATGTTATGACTTTTTAAAAAATCTTACAATCTAAAAATATTTCTCATGCCAATGTAGTAATTGTACAGTAAGCTTTTCACTTTTTCAAAGTTAGCAGCGATAGAACCTAAGCTTCATACACTGTTGATTACAGTATATCAGTCGCCATGACAACACTTAGTCTCCAAACATTCTAATTGAGACAATTGCTCCTAGCTTCAGTTCCCCAAGACTGACCCAATTACACAACTCAAAACCCAAAGCCCAGAGGGTGCCTCTTGACAAAGATACTCTGATTACACAACCTAAGGAAAAATTTAAACACCACTTTTCCAAATTGCAAGGAAACTTTTCAGGCAATGAATTATGTTTTTAAGTTGAATGGTAATTGTCTGATGTAACTTCAAAACATATCTCACTTACATTCTCTGGGCTGTATTTGCATTCTGTTCCTTTTAAGGTACAACTAAAATATTTTAGGACCAAGCAAAACTCAGTAGAAGTATCACTGGACTAATACAGAGCATTCGTACACTAGCCTAAATTGGCCTCATGAGAGATGAAGAACTAGAAAAAAATCTTTAAAACCATATAAAATGAGGTACCCTAGAGTATGCTCCTAATAATTCCAAAGGAAGGGATGCCTGGGTGGCTCAGTCGGTTAAGCGTCTGCCTCTGGCTCAGGTGATGATGCCAGGGTCCCACATCGGGCTCCTTGCTCAGCGGGGAGCCTGCTTCTCCCTCTGCCTGCTGTTCCCTCTGCTTGTGCTCTTGTGCTAGTGCTCTCTCTTTCTGACAAATCAAACCAAATCAAATCAAAGTAAAATAGAATACTCCTAAAGAAAAATCCCCAAAAGGAAAAGCAATGTTGGGAAATGTGGTACCTCCACTGTCTCAAAATGTAAACTAGTAATTCTCTTTCTCTAATGATGCAATAGATTTTTTTAACTGTGTTGTTTTCAAAATATAATGTTCATTTAGTTAGAAAAATTCTGACTAGGTGAGTTGATCAATACTTTAACTTTTATTATGCACAGTATCAAAAGCATGAACTTATTTTACATAGCCAGTAATATGTCTTACACCTCTACAACTACAGTACCTACTAGTATTCTCCAAAAATGTTCCCTGTAAGCTCAAAACTGTCTACAAATGGAAGTTTACTATATGCTCATATGCGAAAAGTTTAGAAGTTGGTAAAAGCAAAAAAAAAATCACAGAATACATCCATGTAACTAAAAGGAGAAAGCGGAGCCTGGGTGGCTCAGTCAGTTGGGTCTCTGGCTCTTGATTTTGGGTCAGGTCATGATCTCAAGCTGGTGGAAGAGCTCTGCATTGGCCTGTGCGCTCAGCCCAGAGTCTGCTCGTCCCTCTCCATCTCTTTATCTCAAATAAATAAATAAATAAAATCTAAAAAAAATAAATAAAAGGAGAGAGATTAACACGAGAGTCTAACTAACCTGAACATTATGTTAATAAAGGTTAACTGTAAGACCATCTTTATGAAGTAATGAGTCAAAGGGCAACTGAGACTACTCGAAATAAATAAATAAATAAAAGCACTTTCGTTTTAGCCTATGGTTTCAAAGCAAAAAGCTAAAGTAAAAATCAAATACACAAGCCTCTCTATGACAGAGAATTCAAGGTTAAAGAGTATTGTTAGAAATACTAAGGCTGAGGAAATCAGTCTTTTAAAAACTGTCCGCCAAGTAACTTCGAATGATAGGTGCAATCTTCTATGACAGAAAGCATAGTACTTTCCATTCCTATGCAATAAAATGATGTTATCAAGTATAGATAAGAGAATTAATATACCATGCAACCCAAGAAAGATCTGAGAAACCGGGTAGAAAGATGCAGTTCAGAATTCTGCAAAAAGCTTCCCATTGCTTAAATCTGATACTTGGAGAACTGAGTTTCCATGAATAAATCATTCTGGTGATTGAAAATCATGCAGGAAGATCTATGAAATCATAATATGAATATGAACTTCACTATAAAGTATCCATGGATCATTATATGTTGCATCAAGCAAGGAGGTAACTGTTCATAACGTTTATTTAAACATCCTTTTGCAGTCAAATGCTCTACCACTGAGCTATACCCCCCTAAACATCCTTTTGTTTGGAAAAGAAAAATAATTGCCAAACCTATCAAAGTATTTTACTAAGCAGAAAATGCAGAACTATGAGGAAAGAGGAAACATTATGAAATTTATGACTAAGTGTGTTTTGTGCAACACTAGGGGACGTTTCAAAGCTGTCTCATTGCTGGCTATATACAAAAGTGAAAAGGGCGTTTTCATTCATTGAAAACAATAGCAAAATATTGCTTGGTTTATGCTAGTTATTCACCATACAGTCCTGACATACGTGTCAAGACTGATTTCGATTTTCATTATTCCTTTTGCGTAACTGGAAGAGGAGGAAAAAGCAAAGCCATACGTTCAAGAGTCCACTTTGTTAACTGAGAAAATTCAGCAGTGGAATATACCATTAGGCACCAAAGAGATTTACCGGCTAGGGCAGACAAAAGAGAAAACAGTCACAGACGAACATGAGCCGCGAAAAAAGATGAGAATCGGTCCCGCGTGTAACTCGAGGACTGGACAAAACCCCGCTGGGCGCTGCGGGTGAAATGAGCAGATTTGATATTCAGGGCATTCGCGACCTCTTTCCCTGGAGTCCATCCTGGGACCGCAGGGAAAGCCCCCAGGGCTCTGACAATGAGCTCTAAGGCCCCCTGCACCGCTTCACAATTCCCCGTGACGCCCCCTCCAGCGGGGTATTTCACCGCACCCCAAAAAGTCACTCCCCCCGACTTCAACTACTCGCGTGGGAGAGGAGAGCGCACGCAAGAGAGCTGCAGCTGCTGGGTCGGCCCCCTCCGCGCTCCCGGGCCGCAAGGGACCCTCGCCGGGCGGCTCGGAAGGGCTGAGACCAGGGGCCACGGGACTTTGGTTACCTTCTCGCGCTGGTCCCAGCTGTACTGCTTCGGCCGCCCCTCCCCGCCCTCGGGCTGCGACTCCTTCTCAGCCTTCCGCCTGTTGGAGAAGAAGCACCCCATGGTCCCGGCCACTCCCCGCCGGCCCGCTCGTTCAGGTATCCCCTGGGAGTGTGGCGTGAACCCCGGGCGCCCGGGCCCCGAAGCGCTCCGGACACCGCCCAGCGAAACGGCCCAGCCGTCCCCAGCCCGGGTTAGCCCGCCAGGCCCAACACCCCTTCTCTTTTTTCCTCTCAGTCGCCCAGACGACCCATTGCAGCCAATGACCATTCAGCGCCCAGTGAGCCAATCAAAGCCCCGAGAGCAGCCCTCCGCGGCCTATGAGGAGAGGTCGACGTACGCACACAACCAATCCACGCCCCGCTCCGGCGCCAGCCCCCAGTGGCGGGTCCTGGGGGCTCTGGCGCACGCACAGCCGACCCCGCCCCCTAGCCCGGCCCCGCCCCTCCGAAGACACCGTGGGGCTCTCTAGCTGCCCAGGGTGCTGCTTTGGCAGGCTTGTCTTTTTGCCCTTGGTTCTCAGTTACCAAGTTCTAGGCGCGGGAAGGCTCTCTAGTTGAACATTAAGCTTGAGTTTTATGATGCAAGTGGTGAGGGAACAGGAATTGCGGCTGACACAGGAAGAGGCCCTGAAATTCGTAATTTTCCCCCCTCCCTCCCGCCACATCGTTCGAGTAGTGTCGCCCTTCCGGAAACTTCCCCCAACCACACACCCCCTTTTGCCTCCTCTTCTGTGCTTTCTTAATATTCCTACGTTTCACTCTGAAATTGCACAAGTACTTAGTAAAATAATTATTTGCGTATTCGTTCCTTTTGGAAATGTGAATTTCTTGAGGCCAAAAGGCCTTTCTTAAAAGAGCATGTATCTTTGAATTCCCTAGGCCTGGCTCAGCTCCACCGTAGATGCTCAGTAAAACGTTTGTCAGATGAATGCATGAATGAATGCATGCTAGTGAAGGAAGTATTCTATAACCTCTTTTCTATATTCCTTATCAAAGAAAGTGATTTAAGTGTGCGTGTCGTGAAGGAGGGGGGTTTTATAGTAAAGGGGTTCTTCTTTTGAAATTTATAGCCTAGTGGAGGACATAAGCATTGCCATATAAGCAGTCAGCTCTAAGCAAATGGTATAGGGTTTGTGTGAAGGTATTAAATATATATACACTAAATATTAACATTTGTTACATTTGGGCCAAGTTTACTGCAGTACACATGTATTGCTTATGTGATAGAAAAGGGTGCCTCAGTGGCTCAGTCGGTTAAGTGTGGGACTCTTGATACTGGTTCAGGGCATGATCTCAGGTGGTGAGAAGGAGCTCTCTGCCGCCCCAGGCTGTTCTGGGGTGTAGCTTGCTTAAGATTCTCTCTCCCTCTCCCTCTGCCCCAACCCCCGCTAAAAAAAAAGGCAAGTTGTTGCTTTGATTATCTGAGTATTTTGACATCTTGGTAGGACACCAAATGTGGATCAGGTCAGGTTCAAATTTGGTTATCTTTTTACTTTCCCACACTTATTCACACTAGTGTATATCCTAAAGGAGACTTAACTTGAGCATTAAGAATGTTCCCTTTTTCACTTCCTGCTTCTTATTACACAATCAGGAAGAAAAGTGCATGTGCTCAAGTATTAGAGATTACTGCAAATTTAAGTTCTAGATCTTAGGCAATAGGGCCTTTGCCCTGTACATACTTCTTCCAATTGAAATGAAAGGTGTATGTGTGGGTGTTTTGGATAAGACACCTAGATATTTTATAGTCATAGAATGTTAAAATTGTGACCATTATGTCATTGCAGTGGGAGAAACAGAGGTCTATGGATATAAAGGGTCTAATCTGTGGTCACAATGAGAATGATTGACCAGGTTCTAGAAAAACCCAGAGCCTGAGTTGTCCAGTGCTCCTTCCTACCCTGAATGCATTCCTTTCTGATTCATCTGAATTAAAAAAGTAAAGAAGTATCTGTTTAGGCCTTCTGATGCCTATGGGAGATCTGTCCCCCAGTGATGCCCTTCCTCTTAATGAACAAACAACAAAACCAATTTTACAGAAACAACCCCGAAAATTCTCCTAGTTTTGAAGTATTCATTAATGAGAAAACCAAACCTAAAACAAAAATCTATATCTGACAATGATCTTTTCAGGGACCCTAAGCAAAAGGGAAGATAAAGTCCCCATTCTGTTAAATCCCATCCCACCAGCACCCCTGCCCAAAAACAAAATAAAGAATCAAATTAAATTAAAATTTTAAAACTGGGGACTAGAAAGCCAAGGAACAGAGCTAGTAATAGAGCTCTGTCATGCTCTCTTTTTTTTTTTCTCTTTCTTACTCTTCCTTTTCTGCTCCTTTTTTTCTCCTCCCTTCCCACCATAGATTTTCATCACCACTTTTCTGTGCAAACCAACTCCCTTTATGTACTCATCAGCATACACCATATATGTGGCTGAGAACGGCTATCCCACCCTGTTCCTCATGGCCTTTCTGTCCAAGTGTATGCTACAATCTCTTTATATCTTAGTTCAGATCCTCTAGGAAGATAACCACATAAATTGCTAGCCAGTCAATACTAGAATGGTTCTCCATAGGTCAAGTGTACACCCTTGGTCTAACTGCTACAGCTGCAAGGATGAACTTCTCATCACAAACATGGGTGGGGAGCAGATCCTACAAAGGGAACATATGCTGGCACCTCTTAACTCCGAAGAGTCCAGACAGAAATTGGTTGATCCTTTGGCCTATCCCCCTTCTGTTACTTACTCCCTTGTGACTTCTTTTCTGTGGAAGGCTGCCCTTCATATTCAGCTTAATAGATATACTCAGCTACATTAAAAAGTTGGGTTGTGGGTTTACACCTGGCCACAGGTTCCTGAGAGAGTCTGGGTTCCCATGTGTCTTGAAGTGGCAGAAGTGGCACAGTTACTTCTCAGAAGAAAGACCTGAAGACGTCTGTCTATGCAGCATGAACAAGTCAACTACCCCAACAACAGCAGCTAGAAAAGTCCCTGTTCTTGAGTTGACCTGACACATACTTGCTCACTCTGCACTCAATGAAGAACACTTGACAAGTGAAGGAGAAGGGACGGGAAGGAGTGTCCCCATCACTTACCGCTGCTCAACAAATTGCCTGAAACTTAAACCGAAACAAAACAATTGCTTGCTTTGCTTACAAATCTGAAATTAAGGCGGGGTTCCACAGGGACAATTGAACTCTGTTTTATGCTACATGCAGAGCCTCGGTAGGGAAAATTCAAAAGGCTGGGGGACTGGCCAGAAATCACTCTACATGAAATCTCAGGGCCTCTCCGTGTGCTCTCTCCAGCAAGGTGGCCTTCGGATGGTTGGGCTTCCTCTATCATACTGAGAGCTCCAGGAGTGAGTGTTCCAAGAGACCAAGACAGAAGTTGCTAGGCCTCTTAAGATGTGGTCTCAGATGTCATGCAGTATGGCTTCCCCTGAATTCTATTGGTCACACAGGGATGGCCTTAACTCATGAAGGGAGGCGACTGAACAAGGGAATGAATACTGAAAGGCACAGATCTTTGGGGTGTCATCTCAGAGGCTGGCCACCACAGCGGGAGTGAACTACATCAGTAGTACTACATAATGTGCCGAAGAAGATGATTGGAAGGTTAAAAAAATTGCGTGGGCAAATGACTTTCTTTATTTTCATAGATTTTTGAGCCAACATTCTTCTCATACTTTAGCTTTTAGATAATTCTTACCAATTTTCTTTTACTACCTTATTGACTAATTCTATTTCTAAAAGCATCACAAATTGTGTGTAATCAGGTTATAAAGACTTTTTTCCCACCGCTCTTAGCATGGGATATCTTATTCACTGTTGTTGGTAAAATTCTTAATGTAAGCCAAGTAAAAAATATTCAAACGTTAGTACAGGAGAGCAATAACAGGGGAAACAGACTTCTAACTCAGATGGGGGGGGGAGGGCAGAAGAGTCTAGAAAGACTTCTCAGAAGTCAATGGATTTAGCAGCATAAAATAAAAATAATTCCAGTAACTTTTTACAGCAAAGCAGTTCCAATGGAAACTATTTTTTAAAAAATAGCTTCTGGACTAAAACATTTTTTTTCTAGTGGAATTTCCATCTTCTAAATACCCATTTCAATACTTTTTAGGAAAGGGACAACCTATGATAAAACTAAGAGCTAATCAGAGTTAGTTAATGAAATTTGTTTTTATTCTTGGGATTTTATTAACAAAAGAAAGCTGCTTGCTCTTTCGCCCAAGCTAAATGAGATATAATTTCTACTTTCCTCTACACATGGAAACAACAAATAAGTCTAAATCTGACATCTAGAAGATCCCAGCCCACATAATTGCTACTCATCCACATTTGTATGGTATAAAAATAATTCCAAAGTAGTGAAAAAGAAAGATTTGGGCAACATAACTGATGCCACATGGCAAAAGTTTAAGTAAAAGGATTTCTGATAACATTTCCTAAATCTTACACAAGAAAATGGTTATTATCCCATATATGGCCAATAGCTAGGCAGGCCTGACACTTCCTGCAACTTCTAAGTATGGATTTCTTTCCTACTTCACCACCTCCTCCTCCTCCTCTGCCTCCTCCTCTCCCAGTTCCTGACAAAAGTAGAGAAAAGTCAGTGTTCATTCTAGACAAAAATCTTCCTAAGAGCTGCTCTGCTGCTTTACTATGATGCCCACCACCTCACCTCCCTACCGCAACCCCCCAGCTGCATAGTACATTCTAAGACCAGGAAAAGAAAGTGACCCGGGGGGCACCTGGGTGGCTCAGTGGGTTGAGCCTCTGCCTTTGGCTCTGGTCGCGATCTCGGGGTCTTGGGATCAAGCCCCGCATTGGGCTCTCTGCTCGATGGGGAGCCTGCTTCCCGCTCTATCTCTGCCTGCCTCTTTGCCTACTTGTGATCTCTCTCTCTCTCTGTCAAATAAATAAATAAAGTATTTATAAAAAAAGTGACCCAGGGAGGAAGCGTTCTCTTCTGCATTTCTTTCACTTGTTCCCTAATTCTCATGGTGTCAAGGATGGCATCGAATAAACCGCAATTCACTCTAAAACAGGGAGAAACCCAAGTTTCATAGGGTTTGAAGTTTGTACAATTTGGGTTGGGTCCTTTTTTAAATTGAGATATAATTGGCATACAACATTATGTTAGTTTCAGAGGTACAATGTAGCGATTTGATATTTGTATACATTGCGAAATG